AGCTGAAGTCCAGAGGAGTAATTGTTTTCAGCCCAAGAATTAATTTTACCCTATCCAAATCTTTTTTTGAAATAAAACTATTCATACAGAGCTTTACAAAAAGATTGGAAACAATTCCTAGCATATGTGTTTTCCTTTCTGAGAAGAGATAGGATGAATACACCAAAAGAACAACAGAAAACTTGATTCCAAATGTCTCCTGAAACTGGTTGTAAAGCTCCTTTTCAGTGCTTACCTCTGATTGAAGATAAGATGCTTTCTAAAATAAGATTTTCATCAAGATTCCATGTGATTCCTTTTCATCTCATCCCTACTGCTGCCTGTTTAATACATAAATGAATTTTCAATCAAATCTGAAATCATATAAGTCCAGAAACAGGGAAGATAATCAAAATTGTTCTTCTTTGCTTTTATTATTTGTATATCTATAACATCTTAACAGTATTAGTGTCACTGCCTAATGACTGTATTAACTATAAAGAAAAAAGATAAAGTTATGCTGCACTAATAAAATAAAGAAAAATATTCATCTGCAAGATAACATCAAGGGCAAATGTGCCACAAGTCATAAACATTATTCAGCTTTGACGTGAAACCAAAAAGTTTATTATATATGCTCCTTTATGGAATTTCACTCCTATAAAGTGTAGCAATGATTTGCAGTAAAGTAGCAGTGATCTGTAATGAAAAGTGCACTGATGATGATTTAAACTCCAGCTGAAACTTCAGCTAACAGCAAGAAAACATTTTAATGGAATTTTCTATTTCTCTGAGGACAAACTTTTTTGTCTTAATAAAAGATTTCTATTTTATTTCCATTTCACTCTTTGAGAAAAAGTATTCTGCTGGAATATGTTTCCATTATGCTTCTTCCTACAAATTCCCAACATAACAATTCTAACTACCTGCCTTTATGTCAGATACATGAGATGCAGTTTCTACACAACCATGAAAGGATGACAGGAAGGGTTTCATGCTCAATTCCAGACAGCAGTGAGACAGACTGTCTAGGATATGATGTCAGAAAGAGTGTTCACTCCAAATAAGGAAAGTGCTTCATATTGCTGCGTTCCAAGTTTTTCAAGCAGCATAAATCCCAATCTATGTGGAGTTCACATTCATGAAGCAGCTTGAAAAGCTGAAAGTGTGTCCTGGTTCAGAGCATGACCTTGGTTTATTTCTAAATTCAGAGAGAGCCATCTTAGTAAAATCAAGACCCATGATTGACAAAATCTCCTGTATGTTGCAGTTAGCAAAACTGAACAGAGCTTTGGACAGTAAATGTGCAAATAAAAGGAAAAAAAATACAATTATATTATCACCTTAACTGTGCACCAGATTCAACCATTTGAGATGCAAATTTCCAACTAGTGTGCTCTGAGAACAACTTGAACTCCATAAGGAATTGCTATCTCCAGTTCTAACTGAATGTATTTACCAGCTTACTGTTCAATTACAACCATCATCTTGAAAATTGAGTGATCCCTGAAGAAACTTAAAAAGATAGATGCTGGAGTACATTGGGTCATAAAGGGACTTTCTTGGTCATGGAGATCACTCCCTTGCCAGTGCTAGACAAGATAACCACATTACATAATCTATTGATCAAGTTCCATTTTGAAGGAAGTTACTTTTATGGGATTTGTTGTTTCCTCTTGCCTCTCACCATTCTTTTGTGAGTCGTCCTTCTTCACTATACCACAAAACCCAAATTTTCCAAAAGGAAATCAACTGTGTTTTCCTCTTGAAAATTTCAAACACAGCATATGCAATGATTTATCACTTGTATAATTTTAGTTTCCTTAAGCAATTGTTTTAATTTAAAAAAAAATTTAAAAAGAAAGAGAAAAATTAAAATGAGCAAAAACATTTCTGTTTAATTCTGTTTTCTGTGTCCTATTGTTATAGTTTTCTAGCACGAATTGCATATCTGTTTCAGCTCCATCTCAGAGCCCTCTTTTTCTTTAATTATTCCTGCAATACTATTTTTTAAAATGCTTATCTTTCAGCCATTATTAATTAGCAGGATAAATTACACTAAATTTAGTTAAAATCAAAACATGAAAGATTAAAATAATATTTTGTGGAGAGCATCAGATAGCATCTGGTTGACCTCATCGCATCCAACACAAAAAGTGATGACTTCATCCACACTTTTGCCCACAATGCAAAATTATTGCTAAAAGCTAGTTGGCTTGTAAGCCTAGGTTAGGTGCTGAAGCTCAGATTTTCCCAAACTTTTACAGGCATGTCCAACAGTAACTCCTATTGTGAGCATATCTTGTTGTCTCTCTTTTCAGGCAGGTATTTTCCATGCATAGAAAAATACTGTACAACAACTTGTTTCAATTGCAGATTTCCATTTTTGGTTGAAATGCTGAGATTTTAAAATGTAATTTTTTCTTACACTAAGACACAAAGTCAAATGTATATCACTTATTCAGAGATCCCATTGTAAAGATGCATATACTAACTATACTTACAGTAAATCTGTATAAGCGTAACAGATATAACCAGTACCTGACATTTTTAGCTTTTATACTTTCTTTGAAATAAATCATCATTATAAACTATAAAACCAAGCTTCATATTTTAATATCTGAAAAAATAACATAAATTCCTATGAAATTCTAATTTCACTGAAATGTCATTTTTCACTGGAAATATTTTACTCAGTTTTAAGCTTGAATTGGGAAATTCTCAAGTGCCTGGGGGGAATAAAAATATTAATCCATCTACACATGCAATGATACTACCATTGTAGTTGACAGATCCACCTATATTTAATTCTGCAATATCAAACATGACTTTAGACCTCAGTAGTTACACCTTCAGTACACACTTGGCCTCACTCTAACCAGAATATTATTAGAGAAAACATTCAAATTTTCTCAAGCAACTCATGTGAAAAATTTCAAAATACAGGCACACCTATATCATGTACAAGCTATTTTTGAAATTTATCCCAAGAATTTTTAATATGCAGGGCATATTGCAATAAAAACATGAAACCTTTTGGTAATATTTTGAAAACAAAAATATTTATATAATCTGATTAATTAACAGTCCATGGGCATTGTTTTTTCAAGACTAGAAATCTTTAAACTTCTAAATAATTTTCATGCCTGGCTGAATTACATGTCTGTCTCTATATGAAATTAAATTTAGCATAATAATCCACCAAAACTCAGTGATTTTCATGCATTAACTCAGGTAACTTTAGCAAGTTCATTCCACTGTTCTTAGAGATGGTTAATTTCAAGTGTTTTTCAAGTTAAGTTTTTGTGGCACATATGGAGAATTGCTGATTTTATGAAAATTTGTTTTGCAAATGCCAAACTCATTATGTTTGCTTTTATGTTTTTCTTCCTCTGATATTGTCTTCTAAATGTCTAAATATAGCATGCAAAAACAGGATGTTATACTAGCCTTCTCAAAAGTTCTAACAGCAAAAAGAAAACCTTGCTTTACAGAATAAGTTATTCTACTTGCAAAAGATCTTTTTAGTCAGTATCTAGCTATAGTCCTCTTTATTATTTTTTGTACAATTTATGGGATTCTCAGGAAAAAAAAAAGTGGAAGCAATTTCTTATCTATTTCAATGGATGACGAACAGTACATATACATGCATACTCATACAAATAAGTTATTTTGAATTCTGCTGCACACACATTTCTGTTGATGCCTCATGGATGGTCTATTTCTAGACCTAGCACCTTTCCCACTGTGGTGGATATCACTTCCAAAAGAGAAAAAGACAAATAGGATAACCAGGGACCTCAATATCTTCTAATTATGCAAGACCTGTTGTCTGAACTTTGACTTTTTTCAAATAACCCATCAGTAGTGCAAAACAAAAATAAAAACATAAGTCTGTTTCAGCCATATGCTTTAGTGTAACAGCGTATGCAACAGTTCAAGAAATGGGGAGATATATATAAAAAGGTAAATAAAATAATGTTACAAGCTACCACAGAAATAAATTGTCAGAAAAGCAGAAGGATTCTCAATCTTTTGATGTCATAGTAAAGATATGAGGCCAAATGTAGGTTACTGAGTTCAGTACAGAGATTAATTTAATACAACATAATGATGTGGTCATGCTTGTTCTCAATATTAATGAGCCTAAGCTACTCAGCTACTCAGTTTATTTCCCTATTCAGATAAGAAGGGCATCTGAGTGATTAAGCTGCCCTATGTATTGATTTGGTTTTTCCAAGTACAGCAGGATAAAACATAGTAAGATCCTGAGTTATGTGCTACACCTTTTGCTCTGGGGGACTACAGCAAACTGTGAACTTCAAATTAGTGAAGAAAAAACATAAATTAATGGTATTTGAAAGAAGAACTTTAGAGAGATACATTCCTTTTTGTATGTACTTTAATAAGTCAGCAAAGCAAGTTTTAAATTGATTGGACTGTTAAGAGTCAGGCTGAACTCTGAGTGAGACCAAAAAATTACAATGAAGAAAAAATCTACTGCATTTGCTTGGATGCAGTATAGATGAAAAATGTTAATCATCTGTGGCATTTTTAATTTTGGTTGAAAAGTTGAACAAAAGTAATGAATAATAGCAGTCTGTTTTTAAAGTGTGTGTGAAAATAAAGAAATCACAATGAAATCAAGTAAGCTGCCTACTAAGAGTGTCGCTTTAATTTATACATTTTATAGGTTATTTTGTTTAAAAAATCTTTGTTAAATAGAGCCACATGATAGTAGCAAGGATGTGAAGGATGGCTCAAAGGATTTCCTCTTTGATCACACTGAAGGCTAAGACTAATTGTGAGAGGTTCCATGGGTCCCCAGGCCACAGGGTGCATCTCCACTTTGCCCAAGGCTGGACTCACTACACTGGGCAGGCTGCCCCATTTCGTGTATAACTCTGCCAAGGTCTCTTCCAAACTCCTTGTGGTGCTCCTCTGAGTTTAAAACCTTCTTTTTATTGTACATATGGTTCCTCTATTGTCATGAGTAATTAATAGAAATTTATCAATTGCAGGAATGGAGGACACAACTCATTTGCCATAAGTTCTCTATGGATGAGCATGAAGAATTATAAGGGGTAAAAAGACCCAGACATTTGGGATAGAGCCTACCAAGAAGGATCCCTGGAGAGAATATCCACCTAAAGAAACACTTGTTTAAATGGGAGCTAGTTGATTTGCTCTGAAAGGAAGCTTGGAACTGATGTGATACGCTTGTGTAAAATAGGAGCAGGGAAGTAGCTGGATCAAGTCTGATGGCCAAATTACTTGATGATGAAGAAATAGCCAGAATCTCCCACTCAGCTGTGAAGTAGAGTTCCATTATTTTATGATGGGAAGAGAATTATCTTGAGATACAACTCTGTGCATCTACACTGGTGATTTTTTGCTTTGGAATGGCTCTCTTTAGCCATACGTTTAGGTTGTAACTGTGCCTGGATTAACTGTTTGCTGAGCACTGTAGAATGTTTCTATGCACTTTCCAAGGTTTCCCTCATGGCTGAGAGTGATATTGTGCCTTACTACATCATCCAGAAATTACCACTTGCAATACAGAAAAATAACCTTCCAACATTTTGCTTTCTACATGCCTGAAGGATTTTAGCACAACAGCAAAATAACCTGGGATAGCTGTACAGAAATCTAATTAGCATTGTCAATTAGGTACAGCTGCACAACATGACCCTATAATCATGGGATTATATAAAAACTTCCTACCTTCTTCTTTGTATAGAAATAGTAGTGTAGGTGCACCCTATGTGGATACAATGTAAGTTTTAACAGTATTTTAAAGGACATCATAGCTTTTAGAGTATAATGAGGAACAATAGAGACATTTTCCTTTCACCCTTAATCTACTTAGGATTTAGGATCTACAATAAGACCACCAAAACCTTTTTTTCTTCTAGAAATGCCTGTATAAAAATATCAAACTGCGCATTACATAATTTGAAATTTCTTCATATGTAAGAAAATTTTAAACAAAATTTATGTATTTTGGGAACATTATTAACAAGCAAAAGTTTTAGCAAAATAGAGAACAAAGGTATTATTCACAGAAAGATACCCATTAATAAAGATTTAGTAAAACCCATGGTTTTACATTCTGGCCGAAAATTTACTGGTTGCTGTGCTAGTTTTCCCCATGCCCTGAATCTGAGGCAGTGTTGGGAAGACTAATTCTATCAAGGATTTGGCATAGTTAGTAATCTGGCTTTACAGAATACAGGCTGGACAGCGTCAGTCTAGGGCTGTCAGGGCTTCAAGCCATGTTGCCATACTCCCACCTGACAAATAATCCTATCCTCTTTATTCTCTTTTCTTTCTTTAGCAAACAGATGGTGTTGGTGCCTCACTGTGTCCAAAAATAGTTTCTAACTTTGCAACCAATTGTAGTTTCTTCACACTCAAATGCATTTCATCTCAGCCCTTTGCTCTCTATTTCAGCACTTATTCAGTGTTCAGCTAATGGTGAGATGGTGAGTTTACAGCTCATTCCTTTATGCATTTCTTTTTTTTTTTTTTTTTTGCTTGGGTGCATATAGCCTAAAAAAATCCTAAGTGAATACAGCCCTACAAATTGAGTGACAAAAACTGTCAGCTAGATATTAAGTTCCTGTATGCAATAAAAAAGAAATCTTATCATAAACTTGCTACAACAGCAGAGAGTCTGATCCTCAGCCATGAGCCCCTGTACTATATTGCCCTATATAAAGACATGAGATAGCAACAAAAGAGAAGCACTTTAGCCATCTTGATATTCAATGAATGGGCTAACTGCTTTTGTGGAATTGCACTGTTCTTCAATGTGTTACCTTTATCAAACCAAGACCCGCATAAAAATGAAATGTCAGACTCCAATACAGTTCTAGTCAGCCATACAGTTTATCTTCTTGTCCCCTGATAGAGTTCACAAATTTAATAACTGTCCTTTATCCTTGTCTCAGTTCTCTTTCAGCTTTCTATTTGACTTTCCTTCTGTCCTGACTTGCAGGAAATTCTTCATCCTCCTCTCCTATAGTAATCAGAATAGAAGGAACAGAAAACATACCATTGCCATGATGAAGAGTATGAGGGGTTATCAAATCACTGTGATGGTCAGAGAAAAACATGTTCATTGTTATTCTACCACATACAGTTTACCTATTTAGACAGTAGTTGACTAAAGTAACTGAATAATTTAAATTGAAAAGGTTATTAAGAATCTTAGTCATGGTGTTTCACATCTTGTATGGAAAAAAGTATCATTTGTTCTTAATAAAAAATAGTAGGATTACTTGGAAGAATCTGCTGATAACATTATCAAAATTATTTTTCAGCTGATTAGAAAGCATCATGATGAATTTTGCCCTTTTGTTTTGGTTTCTGTGACTATAATTAAGAATGACTCCTCAGGTCTCCGGATGGTCTGTAAATGACAATTATACTGGTTTCTGCTTCTTCCAGGACATTCACAAATGACAATAAACTGAACTTGCATTTTCCTCTGAATTGAAGGTACTAAAAGAAAAATTGCTAAACCAATCTGCTACAATGTCAACTATGTGGAGATAGCTTCTGTGGAGATGCATGGAAGCACTAAAGCCTTAAAATGCTCAGCGAGGTTCATGTGTGAAACAGCAGCCTGCTCCTTTACAGCTGTGAACTCTCAACTCAAATTTTCTTCCTCCTAGCTGGTACAGCGCAGCGTTTTGGAATCAGTGTGAGAATGATGCTGATAACACAACACACTGGTGTTTCAGCTGTTGCCACGTAGTGCTTACCCTGCCTAGGTCAAGGACCTCTCAGGTTCCCATACTCTGCCAGTGAGTAGCTTCACAAGAAGCTGGAGCACAGCGTGGCAGGACAGATGACCCAAACCTACCAAAATGGTGTTCCATATCACAGAACATCATATCCAATAAATCAGCTTGGGTAATTTGGCCAGGAGTCAATCACTGTCAATCAATCAATGTCTGCCTGGGAACAATCACTGTCTCGGAACAAGTTGGGGATCAGTCAGGGGGTGGTGAGCAATTGTTTTGTGTATCACTGGCTTTTTACCCTTAAGTTTTATTTCTCTCCCTCTTTTTGTTATCTCCCTCTACATTACTATTATCCTTATTATTTATAATTATCAATTATTATGATACTATTTTACTTCATTTCAATTATAAAACTGATCTTATTTTAATCCATGGATTTTCCAATTCTCCTCTCCAATCCACCTGGTGCAAGTGAGGAATGAGAAAGTGTCTGCATGGGGTTAAATCACCACACTACTCATTTTCATGGGTCTTGAAAATAGAGAAATCTTGTATCTCCGTGCAGTTAGGAAGAGGAGCCATTGATAAAAGAACAGATGCATAGGATATGCTGAACTATCTGGCTAAATAAAAACCTCCCAATGTAAAGAAAAAAACCAAGTAGATGTGGGCAGGTTGCACTCTGAGGAGATAAGTGAAATTAATCAATCAACACAATACTGTCATAAACTGAAGGCAAACTGTTGAAAATTGAACTACCAGGTAGAGTGGGGTAAGGGATGTTGAGGCTGTTGGAAAATGTCACCATCCTTTTGTAGCTGAAGTGAAAAGCAACATCTGATCATCTAAATAGCAACTTCCCTTTCTGTCAAGTTAGGCATTGTTTTAAATTTCTGATCCAGAAATAGTTGCTGTAAAGTTTTGCCACCAGTTGCTAGGTTTTGATATTCTGGGATTAATTTTTTTTGACAGACACTTTTTAATTTACTTATTTTCAAGTTTTAATAATTTTGATTGCTGTAACAAAATAATTAAATATATCTTTGAGAAAATTATTTGTATTGTGGAACAGCCTACTCAATATTGCATATAAATATACATCATATATATAATTTTGTATATAAAAATTTACTAGAATTTCATAAAAAATTTTTTCCCCAGATCCAACTGACTTCTAATAATTCCTGAAGTCAATTTCCATCCAAGGAAACATCAATTCGTAAGAGGCTGACTCTCATTAGGAATACTTTTGTAATATTTCCTGCTCCTAGCATGAGTTCAGAGAAAGCATGTTCATGCTGTTATTCTAGGTGGCTATTGAAATACAAAGACTGGATAAATTTGGTGTAACATCACTGCTCAAACAAATTGGATTTTGTATTTATTTTAGCCGTCATTAGAGAGCTAACATAAAAGAGGGACATCACATTATTCTAAAATTAGTCATAATAAAACAATTTTCTTTGCAGATACCACAAATTGCATGGAACAGTTGTTTTGAGGAAAGAAAAAGTCTACTATGGGAAAAAGGTAGATTTCTAGTTAAGGTGTTTCATATAATTTTCAGAAGATTTCTTTTTAAATCATACCTCTCTTAGAAGCTTCCTGTGTGACCTTAGGCAAGCTGTTTAATTTCTCTGAGCTTCTTTTCTCATGTAAAATGTTTTCTCTCTCACAGCATCCTTTTTCATCACCATGGAAGTGATGGAAATCATCCTAACTGTGCGAACTCGCAAGAATGTGCCAACATGTCTGGCAGAAATAATAGCATTTAACTGAAGGGGGAAACAGAAGACACACTGGCATTTCCACTGCTAGCAAATATGCTATCACTTTCCCTAATAATTACTTCAGGTTGCACATGGTTGACATTTACAACAAGAAACAAAACAGCAATCAAAAGCAAATACCATGAAAGGTACAAACCTAAAATAATAAGATAACTTGGATCACAGTATTTACTGAAAATATTGATTCATTTCTTGGAATATTCTTTGTATAAAAGATATATTTAATTATCTCATTGGTGTGGCAATCTGATTTTCTTATTAATAAAAGTAACTTATGAAAATTACTAGATCAATGTATTTTCTTCTTGTTTTTAATTTGCTGTAAAATATGTGAAATATCAATAAAATTTTTTCCAGTAGATCCTAATGTCATCTTGTTTGGGACTCAAGGCACAATAATGAAAGGATAAATGTCCTTACAAAGAACATAGGTGAGGTAGCTGCAGTCAATGTCATAAATATGTTTTCAAACATGAGTAGAAGTCAATTAAGTCAGAAAAACATTTACATCATAAAAGTTTGTACCCGGGTTTGCACATACATTTGGATTTTGCATCATTTACATCTTCTGCCACTGTCACGGAGAAAGAGCAAGAGCATTGTTACATGCTCAGGAGGAGCCTTCTTGCTTGTGCTTTGTGTGCCCATAACCTCAGTGGACCCTGGAACCCAAAAGATTCTCCTTGTGCTGCCACATGCTCAATGCAGATGGCATCTTCAGAGAGTGTGTTGGCAGACACACACAAACCCATATTTACCGAGTGCAAACAATGTTTTTTTAAGAGTTTGTAAGTCAGCCAAAGGCAAATGTCTTTCACACAGATAACAAAATAGTTCTCTGACCTCATGTTGATACTCTCCATTTCTCCAGCTCCCCAACTGAAAGTCCTCGATTAAAGTATGAAAAGGTTCCTTCACCCAAATGATGTTATTTTTTTCATAAAGATGATTTTTTTTTTTCTATTTCCAAAGAATAGCTGCTCTGTTTTAGCTGGAATTTAAGTTATGTTCAATATTCAGCCAAAAATATCAGTTTCAATTCAAGAAACACACTGTAAATTTAACTTGCAAATATGAATTCAAATGTAAATATTTAAGAATTTGCAAACAGCTTCAGTAGGCATTGTCCCTAATACATTCTAGTTCTTTGCAACAAGCTTCAAAAGTGTCAAGTGAATGCTGTCCATGGTTTGTTCAGATTGAGGATCTGGCTCAACACACTTAAAAGTGATGCATGATAAAATTTCAAAGCAATATGTAATCCTTCAATAAAATAAATACCTGAAGTAACCTATTGATCCTATTTTGTTTTATGATCATTCTTTTCAAAACCAACATATCTGCATGCTGCTTATAAAGTATATTAAATATATATTTTATTCAAACAAACATTTTACAGGCAAATGGATAAACTTATACTCAATCTCAGTTATACCTGTGCCAGTAACTATTTCCAACAAACATCTTCATGAAGGCTTCTTATTTAGATAAGCCACCAGTGAAGAGTAAACAAACAATCTAACAAACATTAAACAGCATCATAACTCCAGACTGATTATTCTGTTACTCAGCTGTTGCATCTGTGGGTTTTGATTATCTCAGTTTAGAAATATGTAATCTATAGCGAATACTTTTTCTTCTGAGGAAAAAAAAAGTTCAATATACTCTTCAGTCCTTACTAAAATTGCAACAGCTTTGGCTAAGACAGGACTCAAACACAATATTGTGATTAAATGCACTTTTTCTTACCTTATTCTCTACTTCTCAAAATGTTGGAATGTTTGCTAGAGAAAAAAATCTTTTTATTATGTTGTAGCATGTATATCTACATGCTGAAAATTTTAGAATTTAATATTGTTGCTTCAACATATGAATCTCTACCTTACTTTGAGCATATGCTGTATATTCTATTCACATCTTGTGATAACAGATTCTCATAACTTTTATGTCAAGCACACATGAACATTATTTTAGTGTATGAAAGTAAAAAGCTGAAATGTGTACATTTTTAACCAGATAACCATATTTTATATGTATTTCTTTGAAAACATGGGCCCAACAATGTCAAATTGTAACATTTCTACCAAAATTGTCAGTCCTTTCAAGTTCTCAAACAATATCTATTAGAAAAAAAAATCATTGGGAAGAAAGAATGACAAAATAAATATGCCATGTCTCACCTACAGTACAGATAAATCTATTTTCAAACATTTTCATTGATTTCCTAGGTGAGCTTGCTTAAGTTAGCTAATGGCATGTTTCCCGTCAGAAGTCTCAAAATGGGGAGTTGAAATGGAAAGCAAACTATCTTTTTACTGGAAATAAACTAAAAAATAATCCTTATTTGGTAAACTTGGGTTTGAGCAAGTAACATTTATCAGTGGAACAATATTCAATCCGAACAGCCCACAAAACATATTACAGTTTATTACATAAACATACACAGTTTCAGTTGTGTTTCAAACGTATTTACTCCAAACAATTTATCTGTGTCATTATATATACCTTACTGCTCTCAGGATTAGTATAGTGTAGAACGATACAGAGACTCCTTCCTAAAATCAACAGTGGAATAAACATTGTCATGGTTGTCCAAGGGGATGAGCCACATGATATCACACAGCATCACAGCCTCCTCTGCTGGGCAGCTACACAACCAGACCAAAGGCAGCCTCCAACAATCCAGGACCCCTTCCTGTCTTCCCTGTCTTCTTTTATGGTCCAAGACATGGACCCGAATCTAAAAGCTAGTTTTCTGGTTTCTCTGGCTTCACTTTCTGGATGAGTACAACACCCAAATAACTTCTTTTTCATCTGAAGTACGTTTCTGAACATATTTTTGCAGAGTTGAGAAAATTGTAAGATATAGATGAAATAGTCATTACTGTATCTCAGAATGGTCACGGTAACTAAAGGTGGAAAACACTTATCACATCCGCGGTTTCACTTTCCTGCACTATAGTAAGTTCTAGAGAAAATATGCCAGTCCCTACTCAAGTGCAGATACTTTTCATCTCCTAGGTGTTATCCAAAGACCTAAAAGAAATAAAGTGAAAAAAAAGCAACTGAAAGAGAAGCTTTTTAGTTCATGGTTCTGAGAGCAGTGAATGTTAGATGGGCAGTCTTGCTGCAGGTTAAAACCTCCAAAGCTTTCTCCATAGTTGAAAGGGAAGAGCACTCTCTTTCAATGTAGTCAGCCTAACTGTAAGAGCTCCCCATAAATACATAATAAATTTCTCTCAGCTGTGCAAGTCTTTTAGAAAAGTGTATGATAGTATCCAGTCACAAATTACTGGGTAGTCTTTTTTAAATAATTACATTCCTGCGGGACAAAAGAAGCTCCACAATACAGGTCAAGCTAGGTGATACTAAGTTCCTTTGTAGATGCCATTGAAGAGGAATATAGCCAGATTTAAATAGAATAACATTCAGAGAGCAAAAATGAAATATAAAATGAAATATAAGCCCATTTCGTAAACATTACATTAAAACGAACCAGATTTCATGGAGGAAGCTGCAGAGATGCTGATATAGCCCATCATCATCAATGTAAAACAACTAGCTAATATCATAAAGCTGAAAGAATAATGTTTCATTTAAAATGTTCTGAAATAAATATTTCAGTGCGGCAGTCATGATGGCACATATTCAAATACACAGCAGATTTTTTTTGACATGTGCAAAGCCTGAGAGCCTGGCTTTGTGTGGTAATGACTGCATACATATTTGATAGGATAAAAACAATCAATTTGCTTCAAATATATTGATACTAGGTAATTAAGTAGCTCCAATAATTCATTGACAGATGCAAATGTTGATGATTGTGCTTTAACATCAAGATTTACACCACTGTGATCCATACCAGAAAAGAGAAAAAGATTGTGAACAGTTGGCTTTAAATACCCATGCTCTTTTCAAACAAATAAATAATCGCAAGGCGTATCTATCCTTCCTGTGTATTACATGGGAAAAAGAGCATCTTTAGTAGCTTTGCACCTTGTAGAGTAGAGGATGACAGTGATAGCTCTTTGAGATTTAAGTTTTGCTCTTAGAAACTATCAAACATAGAAGGTAAGACAAAGCTGACAAGAATCAATAATTAAATCATAAATGTGGTGGGTTTATTTCCTGCAACATTTCATTTTATTTTGAGGGCTTAGCTTTAAAGCTCTGCACATCTTTCTTATTAGAAGATAAGGAAAGGAATAACAACACTAAATGAATAGACCGAAATTAAGCACACAATGTTATGAATGTTTGCACAAATGTTACCCTGGTAACCTGTTGACAGATTGCTGGCTGTCATGAAAGTTTCCTCCCATTAAGTCGTTCCAGAGCTTTACATGCTGGGCCAAAGAATATTGACTGATTATTCAAATGTCCGGTATTTCTGGGCAAGAGAACTGACATTCTCAGTATATATTATGTGTCTTTAATATCTGGTTTAGATAAACAAGTTTTTCTTATCATCAAAATCTCCAAACATACAGCTTTGAAGTAGCTCATCAAAGGATGCTTTTCTTCAACTTAGTGGTGATATCTACACCTTAAAATAACCTTTTTCTTCTCAATAGCATATTTACTTTAAAGCTGTCTAACAGTCATCACTGAGAAATAAGTAGGAATATCTAATGAAATTTGCAGGATGGTTAAAATAAAATGCACGGTAGGGTGGGGGGATACGGTATGGGTAAATGAAGGTGATATAGAATGTAATCTCATCCCCCAACGAGCTGCAGCTGGACCAGTCGCTAAAGATTAGGAGCAGGCCTGATAACAGGCCACACCTGTAGCAAATAAGAACAGTATTATAAAAGAGTGGATTGGTGGGATCTGGAGTCAGAGGATTGCTGCAAGGACTAAGAAGAGGCAGTGCTTAGAGGTGCTACCTGTGGGAGACATCAAGAGGAGATACAAGGCTCTGGCAATATGGAATCCATGCACTATAATGATAACAGAACTCTTGTCATATAAGACAACACAATAGTATTTTTAAAATTATACCATATATTCCAAAGTATGTCTAGCTATTCAGTTTAGTAGACCTTAAATGTAGAAAACACCATTAAAATCTCACTACATTACATTTTATCCTATTATGTCTGCGTAGAACTCAATGATAAAAGTTTGACTAAATAAAGAGAACTTTTTGAATGCACTATACTTGCTAGGAACACAACTAGGTTTAACAAGAAATTAAGCAAGAGCAGAAGAAGCTGGCACTTGGTAGCTTGCTCCAGTGGCTTTTAAGTCTCCCTTTTAAAAAATCATACAGGTCTGCCTAATATGCTTTTAACTTCTCTGGTTTCAACTTCCAGTAACTGGTTCTTGGTCTGCATTTCTGTATAAGGTCTAATAG